GGTAAAACATAAAGGTAGGTGGACTGCTAAAGTTTATCATATATATATATATATATATATATATATATATATATATATATATATGTATATATATATATACTAAATGCCAGCAAATTTCACATTAGTTTTAATCCGTTGCCTTGTCTATAGCTAATTAAATTAAGCGTCGATAGTAAAACGTAAAGATAGGTGGACTGCTAAATATTACTGAAGCAAACTATCAAAGCTCTGTGAGTGACGTTGGGGGCGGAAAGTTTATTTACAGGTGTGGTGCCGATACTCGTAAATGCTTTCTTTTTATGACTAACGGATGATTCTTTTTGGGGTTGCTGGCTACCCAGGAAAAAATATCGAAAACAAAAGATTTCAAATCTTACACACATATTCAACACAAAAGCGGTTTTCCTCATTTTAAACATATGTCTATATTTTATATTTTTTTCACACTGATATTATAAGACTGATACCATTTTTATTTTTTGACTGTCTCCGTCTACGGAAGATTGTGCACGAACAGGAGATAGTTTTCACCAAAGTGGTCGTATATAATAGCCTACCTTGAGGCTACTGGAATAATACGTTGGTCATCTTTGTCACATCATTGCGAGGATGTTGATCTATTCTCGTCATCCCATACCGAGGGTCGAATCGTGTCTCTCATTTATCTTTAAACATTTACTTTGAAATTTTCATGATAAATTTATCAGCTTATTTTTTCCTACTGGCTTAGAGTAACGTGCAAGAAGGCCTCATCCCTATTTCTAAAAGATCATACTTCTGGATACTTCCATCATGTGTGGATTTCTCTCTATACAATGAGCGCATTTATATAATTCTGATTACTTGGCAGCTTCTCTGCATCTGTTGATGCAAATAATTTGTTGTCTCTTAAGGTTGAGACTTGTACGGTAGCTCGTACTAAACAAAGCAAGGGTAATTAATAATAATAATAATAATAATAATAATTTTTAATGAAATCATTATTATTATTATTAATAATAATAATAATAATTTCAAATTTTTAAAAATAATTATATATATATATATATATATTTTTTTTTTTCAGTGGAAAGTGTCATGATGCCATTTCTAACCTTAGATCCCTAGGCGGGACCCGGAAAAAATGTGTAAACGCCAGAAATCAAAAGAAAATAAAAATAAAAATAAAATAATAATAATAATAATAATAATAATAATAATAATAATAATAATAATAACAAGGGCTTTATCTATGTAATTTTTTTTTTCTTGTCAGTGGAAAGTGTTATGACGCCATTTCTAACCTTAGGTCCCTGGGCGGGACCCGGAAAGAAATGTGTAAACGCCAGAAATCAAAGAAAATAAAAATAATAATAACCCTACCCATCAGTGCTTACATGGTGCAGGGCTAAAAGCTGAAACCGAGGGTTTTATTTTTACTGTACAGAACCAATGCTTGCTAACTAGAAATTATTGAGCGCACAATTGGCCATCTTGTATTAGGTTTCAAACTGAATATAAAGCTCAGCATGATAGATTGGAGGAATATATGCACTGGAAATTATCAGCAAAGTTTATGGGAAGGAAACGACAACAAACTGGCATGAACCTCACCCAGACCCGATTACAGGGATAGGATATGTAACAATTTTATCTGACCTTACAATGCATACACACAGAACAATCGAACATTATTTACATTAGTCGGACTATTATCCTCATCTTTGTCGCCATATTTATTACAACGTTTCCATCAATAAAATCGTTATTAGCCTGAAGTTACTTCTCAAAACGAAACGTGTCTCTAATTTTTTTTTTTTCCTTTTCGTCATTCACTTACCCGCTGGTTGTCATATATATATATCATATCTTACACCCACAGGAAAAACTAATGTCGACAAAGTCCACTATTTACATTATCAGACTATTATCCTCATCTTTGTTGTTATATTTATCACAACGTTTCGACCGTTTTACGCTCCGGGCTTCTTCATGTGGTTGGAATGTCGAACAGACATCGTGATCAAAGACTGCAATAACAGAGTGTGCGTTCTTATTGATATGGCAGTCACTGTTGATTGTAATGTATCTTTGAAGATCTTCAAAATACAACGATCTTGAAGTGGAAATCTCAAAAATGGAACACATGAGGACACCAGTAATTCCAGTTGTATTTGGATTCCTGGCTTTGATTGATAAAGGTTCCGATAGACTCATTAAAGAGACTCCTGAAAGGAATACAAAAAATTGTACTCACTAGTATAGCTCACATCTTACAAAGGACTTTATCTATGTAAAATGTGTTTTTATTTTTATTTTTTTAACAAAAATGTTTAGCAGAAAATGTCATGAAGCCATTTCTGAACTTAGGTCTCTTTCTTTCCGTATGAAAATGTGCATACGAGAAAAATCTTAGGAAATAAAATAATAATAATAATAATAATAATAATAATAATAATAATAATAATAATAACAGATCTTAATGCTGCCCCAGGCACGACACTCGTAGTTCATGATCTGAACTGATTGAAGGTGTTAATACGTGCATGATATATGGGCCTATACTACACGTATCAGCCTGGATGTTATGATTGGTATATTGTAATTCGGATATTTGCACGGGAAAGTGACTGGGAAAGAGACTGAAGCCGAGATTCCAGGTTAGAACCAATAATATCGCTGATTCTTCTTTGGACGTTGTCAAGAATCTCTAAATATATAGTAAGAGCATCAGGCCATATTTGGCAGAAATATTCGAAGCATGGACGAATGGTAGATTCTAGAGAGAAACATTGTCTAGCATGCTGACCTAGCATTGGATTCAGTGTATTTTTTCACCGTCATGTCAGGCAAGAATATCAGCACGAGTAGGTGTAACGAATCACTTTCTTGGAAGTTAGATTCAGCCATACTGATGGGAGGCAGAACGGGATCTCTCAGATGATTAATAGAGAGCACTTTTATTTTGGGGGTTTCAAAATTAACAAGCCACCCTTTGCCCCATTTAAGAACAGACTGTACGTCGTTAATGAAATTCTATTAAATATGTTATATATATGTATATATATATATATATATATTAAATATCTTATATATATATATATATATATATATCTTATTACACAGGGTTTTTTTTTTGCTTTGTACCAGGGATTTAAGATAATGGACAATTTCCTTCGCCCTTTTCGGAAGTTTCTGGTGTTGTATTTTTTTTTCCTCGGATGTCAATGCATATGAACATTGTGCAATCCAGGCTTTTTACCCACTGAGTTTAAATAGACTTACATTATATATATATATATATATATATATATATATATATATATATATATATATATATATATTATAAATTAATTGATTTAAAAATATGTTTTTTCGCTACACAGTTCTAACCATGTTTCAAAAATGGAAGCTAAAAGCCCCGAATTTAATTTTGTAATTAAGACATTAGTTCCATTTCATCCTCAAGCGAATTTTTTCTAAGAACACCGGATTATATATCTTACTGTTCTTTTTTTTTTTTATATTATATATATATATATATATATATATATATATATATAGAGAGAGAGAGAGAGAGACAGGGTGAGATAGATAGATAGATAGATAGATAGATAGATAGATAGATAGATAGATAGATAGATAGATTCTATCGAATTCCAAAAATGTGTATTTCGACACTTGCACACAGAAATACTGAAGCACTTTTGGAGGAATTTTCTTCTCAGTGGTTCCAATAGCTGCCCCGTCTGCGCTTCTAACCTCTCAAGCTATGATCGCAAAATCTGACCAAATCGCTAGACATCTGAATTCAGTTTTGAATACATTCCTCGACTAGCAGAGAATTCTTCAACACCCCGCCTTATTTCTCTGGTTAGATGATATATATATATATATATATCATCAACTTAAAGAGTGATTTTTGGTTTAGTCCCATTTTATTACTTTGGCATCTATGGTCGATATTCGATTATATGTATGCAACCAGATTATCGGACGCTGATTGATAAAATAAACATAAATTATAAATTTGAGGAATCAGTATCATCCTCAAGCTAACATAATGTGAAATGGTTCGATTCGGTAACCAGATTCTACACTATTTAATATCGGTGACCGAACGAAATCTGATATTTTCTGCGTTATCTGACCTTAAACAAGTAAGTACAAATAAGTATCACTTTAATAAAACACAGGGTGTGATGGATAATCTGCTGTCTAAATTACGCAAAAATGAAAAATAAGACTAACATCTCGTCAACAGATATCCACCTTGTGCAAATTGATTAAAATAACCGCTATACGGTCAGTTTTAGACCCACAGGTGTGACAGGCTTTAATCGATTTCTATTTTTTTTCCTCAGATTAAGACATTTATAGTTGTGTGCAGTAATTTGAATCTATTTTTGTGATGAATGATGAAATTTGTTTGGCCTTGAAGAATATTGCATCATTCGTAACTTCACGCCCAGACACTATTGTCTCGACTGTCGATTAGTCGCCCTACGACCATTGTCGATGGTCGTTACTCCATGGAATCGTACGAAAATTTTAACGCTGCACGAACACACTGGCAAACCAGTGAGCAAATCAAAGTACTATCAACTGGCCCGAAAATTCTTCTGATTTAAATCCAATCGAGAATCTGTTGCCAATCTGCAAGGAAAGACCTCGGGGAATGGACATGCAAAGACATATGCACTGGGTCATGTTTCATTGGAAAATACTAAAACAAAGTAGATAATAACGGAATTATACGTTTTGTTTCAAAAAATTAACCCAAGGGTGTATTTACCAAAATTATATAAAAATATCTTGAAATACAAAAGAACAAATTTGTTTTAATAAAATCGCAATTGGCTTCAGCCAAGGCCTCCAGACAACTTCGGAATCTCCTGCAACTCTTCTGGACGATTTAAGTTGTTGAGAGCTGCTATAATCCTTGCTTTCAGTTCATCTTTGGTGTTACAAAGAATTCTGTTGGTCTCTCGCTCAACTGTGTCCCACACATAATAATTAAGGGGTTTGCGGTTAGTTGGTCAGATGTAAGGTTGATTTGGTCGCAGAAATTGTCTGACAGCCATGACTGGATTCTCCTGCTTGTGTGCCATGGTGTAGAGTCTTGTTGTCAGACATAGGGTCTTCTAGCAGCCAACCTCTTGACTCAGAGCAGCACTACCTCCTCAAGGGACTTGATGTAGGCCTCTGTGTCGAGTCTTGGGTCCACACAAATTAAGTAGTTATCAGAACGATCAAAGTGAATTTTCCGAGCTACCATACCTTCATAATCACAATTAGATTCATCCAATTCTTTCCGAATCATCTGCACTGTTATCACATTGGTACCTAGACACTCAGAAATGCTCTTATTGGAGTTCCGGTGCGAATGCCAAGCAGTACAGCATCCCAATTCCAAATTTCTGGCTAACTTAATTTCTTCAGCGTGCAATTTTCTGACAGACTGTGCCCAATTGACCTTACTGTATTGTGCAGACGGCAAGATCAAAATCAGACAATACACATGCGCTGAATTAAAATAAAAATTGCTACAATTTAAACATCGCACCCTTTATTATATTCAAATAGATAGAGACAAAAGCCAAAGAAGAATCCGCAATGTTATTGTTCCTGACCTGACATCTCAGCTTCAGTCACTTTATCACAGCGCAGTACTAGGGTGTCAACAAGGTCTCATCATTTTACAGTTGAATTGGTTATATGCACGTTCTATGCTAGTAGTTTCTACACTCACACTTGTCATTTGGGAAAATCTCTTCCAGCTCTTCAAAAATTTAAATGCAGTGTCAATCGTTATCGCCTGATATTTTTATCCCCCTTCGTTTTTTTTTTTTTTTTGTTCTCGCGCCTTAATAATGTTTCACTTTTTCCTTATTCTTCACAATCAGTGTCTCGGTGGATTTAATTCCTTGCTGGGAAACGATTAAGAAAAGTAGTTGGATAGGGCGATAACGACGCACTAAGCGTAGCTTAGATGTTGCATGAGATAGATAGATAGATAGATAGATAGATAGATAGATAGATAGATAGATAGATAGATAGGAATGGAATGGAATGGGATGGAATGGGATATGATAGATAGATAGATAGATAGATAGATAGATAGATAGATAGATAGATAGATAGATAACGACTTACTAAACTTAGCGTACATGTTGCACAAACAGATACATACATAGATACATACATACATACATACTTACTAAGTGTAGGTTGGGTGTAGCACAAGATAGATAGATAGATAGATAGATAGATAGATAACGACTTACTAACCTTAGCGTACATGTTGCACAAACAGATACATACATACATACATACATACTTACTAAGTGTAGGTTGGGTGTAGCACAAGATAGATAGATAGATAGATAGATAGATAGATAGATAGATAGATAGATAGCGACTTACGAAGCTTAGCTTACATGTTGCACAAGATAGATATATGCATACATACATTTACTAAGTGTAGCTTGAGTGTGGCACAAGATAGATAGATAGATAGATAGATAGATAGATAGATAGATAGATAACGACTTACTAAGCTTAGCTTAGTTGTTGCAGTAGATAGCTAGCTAGCTAGATAGATAGATACATACATACATACATACATACATATTTGCATACATACCGAGTTACTAAGTGTAGCGTGGATGTGACACAATGTATATATATATATATATATATATATATATATATAGAGAGAGAGAGAGAGAGATAGATATGATATGATATGATAACAATTGAATAGATAAGTAGATAGCTATGATCAGAATGTGATAGATAAAAACAATGTGGGATAGGTAGATATAACCAAAAATGAGATAGATAAATTTAAAGTAAGCAGCTGGAGGCCAGTTGTTTTATATTATTTATCAGTTTTGTTGCCGCTCTATACATCATTACCGCTTCACCTGTTGGCAGACGATGCTGACTGATGTCATCCACGTTGTTACCACCCTCAACGAGCTAAGAACAGTGAGTAAAGAAAAAACGACGTGGAACTATTTTAAAATGGCGGCGGTTTCAGGAGGGATAGGTAAGCAGGTTTCACAATGTCCGTCTGTTTGCGTCGAAGCGATAAACTGAACGCAGATTTTTTATTTCTGTCCACAGGAGTACGAGTCCGTGTCACCGGCAATTCGTCAAATAGCATAAACCCAGTCTTGGCTCTCATTTCGAAAGATTAGTCTTTTGGTAATTAGATTTGTGTAACTGTTATAAGTCAGCTGTTTTGTTTTGGCTTTATTTTCCTACGACTGGGAATGCTGGGATCGTTTGATATGCTACTATGACGCCATGAATGCAAGGTTAAATATTTGGTTCTTTATAATTATTACACGTTATATTACAGTCATTGTTGTTATTTCTTCAATATAAAAACCACCACTTAATATATATATATATATATATATATATATATATATATATCACATGATGATTTGATATGCTACTATTACGCCATGAATGCCTCGTTAAATATTTTGTTCTTTATATTAATATAATTACATCATATTACTGCCATTGTTGTATTTCTTTAATATATATATATATATATATATATATATATATATATATATCAATTGATTATTAGTAGGGATAATTCGAAGGAGGGCATAGATACAAAGAGAGTTCAATTTCCAACCGGTGTGGAGATATGGACATTAGAGTTCACGAAATAATTATAACCTGAGCGAATGGATTTTTTTAAAGATTCTGTATTTATCATATATATATATATATATATATATATATATATATATATATATATATATATATATATATATATATATATTCTGTTTATACGTTATTTTTTTGTACATACAAATATTTAAGTTAATGTTATTTTTGTACATACAAATATTTAAGTTAATGTTAACTACATTTACCGGCCTGAATGTCCGAGAAATTTCATATAAAATATGTTTGTCCGACAGGAATCGAACTTGTATCCTACACGGAACCGTCCTATAGCCTGACGTGCTATACCATTTAGCTACAGAAGACGCGTCTGGTTAGCAATGTTAAATTACTGTTTTTAAACTACAAACTTCCCATGATTTCTCTCGATTGCTCTTATCTGCTCGAAGCGTATCTAAAGGTAAACGAATGACATATATTATGAAATAGACTAAGTCCGACAAATATATATTGTAGTTTATATGTTATTTTTATAGATATAAATACTTAAGTAAATACTTTGTTTATAATAAATAGTGTTATCTATATTTACCGGCCTGATTGTCCGAGAAACTTCATAGAAGATATGCGTCCTCTGACGTTCAGTCTCGTAAATGTTGTTTATTGTGAACAGAGCATTTATTTAAATATTTGTATATATATAAATAACGTATAACAATAACATATATTAAAAAATAATTGTCGGACTTTGTTCATTTCGTAGTGTGTGACGTTATGTGTATACGTTAAGATACGCTTCGAGTAGGTATGGACGTTCGAGGGAAATCATGGAAAATGTGTAGTTTAAAACTAAAAACTAAAATCGATCTTGCTAACCAGACACTGCTTCGTAGTTAAACTGTTATATATCCTGACGTGCTATAGCACGCCAGGATATATAACGCTTCCGTGGAGGATACAGGTTCGAATCCTTTCGGAGGACGCGTATCTTCTATGAAGTTTCTTGGACATTCTTGGACATTCAAGCCGGTAAATGTTGTTAATACTGTTTATTATAAACAGAGCATTTACTTAAATATCTGTGTCTATATAAATAACGTATAATAATAAAAATAGTCCATTTCGTGCGTGTGTGTGTGTGCGTATAAAATTCGCTTGAGGATGAAATGGAACTAATGTTTTAATTTAATTACAAAATTAAATTCGAAGCTTTTAGCTTCCATTTTTGAAACATGGTTATTACTGTGTAGCAAAAAATATTTTAAATAGTTAAATTTATAATATTAATGCTCTGTAAATTTACATTGAGCACTATTTTGTAAAAATAAAAATATCAATAAGAACACCGGATTATATATCTTAGTATTCTTTCTTTTATATATATATATATATATATATATATATATATATATATATATATAATGAAATGGTCTGACGTTTATATTAAGACATTTTTTATGTTTGTACGTTCTTTTTATAGATACAAATATTTAAGTAAATATTCTTTTTATTATAAACAATTATATTTCTAATGTTAAATCACATTTATAAATGTTCCATTTAGTTGTCCATTGAATATTGCTGCCATATCCAGTCATGTGCTCCTGTTACATATATCGAGATTCTTGCCAAATTCCAAAGAAGGATCTGTGATATAATAAGTCCTTATCTGGCATCTATACTTCAGTCCCTATCCGACGTGGCGAGGTGTCTTTTCGGTAAATATTTTCATAGCATTGCTTCAGAAGGGCTTTATTCCTTCGTATATCGACTACAGAAATTTCAGTGTACTACTAGATAAGCAACTGGGTCTCACCATTTTAGTGTCGAACTGTCTAGATGCAATCGTAAGTTATATTCTGAATATTCTTGCTTCTCTGCCACATAAAGATTAAAATCCAACGCGAATCTCTATCTTCTGTCTTCCTGAACCCCGTTGTTTTATTATTCTTTCTCCTCACTGAAGTCTTCTCATTCTCTTTTAATACCAGTAATCAGTTGCGTCTTAGCGGCATTATCGCCTTGTTTAGGTTAAAATAATTTTAAAAAGTGTTCTTTTTGTTTCCATTTTCTCTAATATTTAGTCCATGGCATCCTCATCATCCTTCTGTTCAACTACATTTCTGTTGCTTCAAATCTCTTATTCATCTGTGTATTTTCTGTCATCGGAAAACGTTAGCCCGAGAAGGCGCAATTTGCCAGTCTCCTGAAACTAGCATCAGCCATGCTGATGGAAGACTGAAAGAGCGGTTTCGTTTTTGGAAGCTTTAAAATTAACAAGCCACTCATTGTCCCATTTAACAACAGATTGCCGATCTTCTTTTTTTTTTTTTTGACATGAGCTGCCACTTTGACGTTATCTAACTGATGGACATGCTAACTTGTTTCATCAGCATCCATACCGTGTTGAGAGCTGAAGACATCAGGAAGGTCGTTGTTAAAAAAATAGAAACTATGCAGGTACAAGGATAGTGGCACCTGCATTTATGTCAAAAGATCTAGTATAGTGGTCGTTCAAAACAACTTTAATTTGCGATTTGCTAAGGAGTGAATCGGTTGAAAAATTCGTCCAGGAATACCATAACCTTTCAACTTGGGAAGAATACCAGCATGTCAAACATTGTCAAATGCTTTCAAGATATTTAAAACAACAGCCTGAGCTTCGCCATTCTTACCTGAAGCTAGATATCCTCTTTCAACAATAATCGTTAATGCATCAACAGTTGATCTAGACAAGCGAAAGCCATATTGGTTATCTGACAAAAACCCTGCGAGGTGAGATGCTTAACCAATTCAAAGTGGATTAGAGCATCTAGAACTTTGACAAAAAGAGCTAGAAGGTTTATAGGCTTCCTGTGATAAGGATCATAGCCTTTTAGATGAAGAATTGTGGGAAAATCAACATCTCGACTATGTTATTTTCTACTCGAGTTACATATGCTATCCATTTTAGTACTTGCTGTTTTTGAAAGTCTTCAAGTGATGTGGTTTCTGTTATTTGGTACAGTACTTTATAGTTCTGTAGCACCAGTCCATGAGGTTAGAAGATAGACAAATAAGTCTACATAAAATCCTTATGATGAAGAGCCTTTATTTTACAGAAGGAGCATTTTCTCTTCGAGTTATATCTGCTATCCATTTTAGTTCTTGCAGCTGTTGGTAGTCCTCAAGTGATGTGGTTTCTGTTATTTGGTACAGTACTTTATAGTTTTGTAGCTCCAGTCCATGAGGTTAGAAGATAGACAAATAAGTCTACATAATGAAATGATGAAAAAGCATTTATTTTATAAAATAAGCATTTTCTCTTCGAGTTACATCTGCTATCCATTTTAGTTCTTGCAACTGTTGGTAGTCCTCAAGTGATGTGGTTTCTGTTATTTGGTACAGTACTTTATAGTTTTGTAGCTCCAATCCATAAGGTTAGAAGATAGACAAATAAGTCTACATAATGAAATGATGGCATTTATTTTATAAAATAAGCATTTTCTCTTCGAGTTACACTATCCAAGTTCTTGCAAAGTCCTCTATGTGGTTTCTGTTATTTGGTACAGTACTTTATAAGCTCCAATCCATAAGGTTAGAAGATGAAAAAGCATTTATTTTTATAAAATAAGCATTTTCTCTTTGAGTAACATATGCTATCCATTTTAGTTGTTGCTGCTGTTGTTAGTCCTCAAGTGATGTGGTTTCTGTTATTTGGTACAGTACTAGCTAAGACCTACGGTTTTCATTTTCAGACATTTTTAACCATTGATCTTTAAGTGGTTTGTATACAGTTAACAGTTTAGATATCTATAAATGAATTGAGCGCCAGGATTTGGCATGGCATCCACATAAGAGTATTTAAGAACATCATTTACATTTTTAGATAAATGTTGTTTCTATAGCAACATGTGGTTTTCGGCAAAACTACATCTGGCACAATCTATTCTCTGTTCAATTTCTTTATCTCCTTGTCTAAATTTAATATATACACTGATGTATTTGAAGTGTTCACCATTTATTAATTCCTCATAAAGCGAATTGTTCCTTTTGTGTAATAATATCTTCAAGTTGTTTTCTTTTACTAATGTTCATCCAATATAAGGCCCAAGAGCTACTCAAGGTAAAGTGTTACCGTATTGTGTTGTATTGTCGTAAGAAAGGACGAGACACCAAGTTCTTGAGGCTATGCAGGAAAGCTAATAGCTCACTCTAGACTTGAAAAGATTAACATTTTATTAATGAATAGAATTTCAGAGAGGTTAGAAGTGACGTAGACTTAAGAAGAGTTTTAACCTAGGAAAGAATAGAATAATCAATC